ATTGATGGGGTCCAGGTCCAAGTCATCTTTCCATGTGGTCATGGGGTCCATGGACCCACTCCATGATCGTTAGAAAGGACCGCACCGTGCTGGTTCCTTGGCTACAGGTAGGAACCATTGCAGTAGGAAAGGCCAAGAGAAAGCCCCTGAACCACCCCCTCCCGGCCCAACAACAATAGTAAATCAAAACCAGCGCTGCTGGGCCGGCCTGTGGCTCACTCGGGAGAGTGCGGTGCTGATAACACCAAGGCCACGGGTTCAGATCCCATATAGGGATGGCCGGTTTGCTCACTGGGTGAGTGTGGAGCTGATAACACCGAGTCAAGGGTTAAGATCCCCTTACCGGTCAAAAAAAAAAAAAACCAGCGCTGCTTCCAAGGTGCGTGGTGGGGTTAGAGCCACTCTCAGAGACTCAAAGGCAGAGGTCCCCGATGTGCCTCCATTCATTTCACCCACCTGGTCCCCACGAAAACTGGATGATCACAGTGGGTGACAGTGGGCCACCAAAACCTTGACCAAGTCATAGTCCAGTTGTAGCCACTGTGCCAAATGTGATATCTTTACTCGAGCAGATTAACAGTTTTAAACATGAGGCAAGTGGCTAGCGACCTGGCAAGTGTGTTCTTTTCCAAACCCCACAGAACGGAGGAACAAAGTCAGCCTGCATCACACAGGGTGGTCAATAGTACACATTAACAGCTTTGACCCGGAACTGTGCATTCTCTCACCGTCACAGTGTGGTCCAGAGGCATGTACTCGGGACGTTCTGCAGAGCAGCACACCAGCCCACAGTACTGACGACATCACGTTCGTCAGACATGAGCAGTAAGAAGTGGCAAGCTCTCCAGACACCTGGGTAAAGCGCATGCACCCTGGAGACGGGGAGATGCTTGTAGAATCTGCAAAGATTCAGGAGTCAGCCACAGCGGTGCAGCTTTTAGGCGTCCAGAGATATGGGGTGATATGTCCTGAATTGTGTCCCCCATAATCCATACGTTGAAGCCCTAATCCCCTGGGTGTCTGTGTTTGGAGATAATTAAGGTTAAACGAGGTCCTAAGGGTGGGACTCTAATCCACTAGAACTGGTGTATCATTAGAAGAGCAAGAGACTGAGCTCTTTCTGTGCCCACAGAGGAGAAAGGCTGCGTCCATGTGAGGACACTGCAGGAAGGCAAGCTAGGAGGAGGGGCCTCACAGGAAAAGAGGCTGCATAAGAAACTGATCCTCCTGGCAACTTGATATTGGACTTGCAGCCTCCAGAACGTGAGAGAACAAATGTCTGTTGTTTAAGCTGCCCAGCCATTTCGTTACGGCCACCTGGGCATGCCAGGACCTTCCCTCTAATGTAAAGGACAACTTGGGGCACCACACACCCCTGCCACTCAGAAGGGAGCATGGCACTGGTGAGGCCTCTGTGGGTTTTGGAGGCAGCATGCTCTTTGCTCTTCCTCGGGGCCCCAGGCCTGCCTTGCCTGCCACTCGCTGGGCCCCAAGCATGCAAGGCCTGATGGGTTCAGCATTTTTTCTGGGATCAGATGAACCTTCCAAAGTGCACCGGATAACAGGGTCTAATCCCACAACTTGGAGATCTTTGCAGTCCACACCTTTGATGGGAGGTGGGCCTGAGGGCCCCAGAGTGCCTAAGGCCTAAGGAGTGTGACAAGACCCCCCTCCCCCCAAGTAGCCAGGCAGGTTGAGGCCCAGTGGAAGGTGTGGGTGGCATCAGGGGAGAGTTGGGTGGAGTCCCCGTCACAGAGCCTGTCACCTCTACGAGTGTATACAGAGGTCTGGGAAGTGGGTCTCCTGGAAGATAAAAACCTGTGAATCAGGTCCCCGTGGAGGTTCAAGGATCAGCTCCATGAGCCAAATTGTGAGAAAGAGCAGCTGGGAACTGGGTGCTCTGAGAGTAGAGAGCAGAGGGGCAGGGGCAGGGGCAGCTGCCTGACCTGCGCGCTGGACTTCCATGGGTGATGGGAGGGCTGTCTGGGACCCCATCATGTTTTGTCCCCTCGTGCCATGGGGACTCCTCAGGAAAGAGGCTATAAGTGTGAGAGCCCAGAGTGCTGAGCAACTGAGAGCTGAGGCGTGAGGCGTCAGGGTCTTTTGCTGCAGGACAGCCCTCGCCACCGGTGCAACACCGCAGACAAACCAGAGCCATCTACACTGAAGCCAGCAGGAGCATGTGGTTCGACAGCTGCTGCATCTCAGCGGGGCCCTTGGCACCCCGGTGCTCTAAAGCAGCATCTACAATGTGACTGCACTACCAGTGAGGCAGCCACAGTGGGTCCCTGCCCCTGCCCAGGAGCCCTGCTAGGGCTTTCCTCAAACTGAGCAGTTCCTCATGACCTATGGGTAGGCCAGGGCCCAGGACGGGTTGTTGTAGGCACCTGTAAGGCCCTAGTGGAGAGGACTCTTGGTGGGAATAGAGGAGCAGGTTACAGGTGGGGCCAGTATGAGGACAGAGAGGGTCATGGAGAGGCTGGCATGTCATGCTCTGCCCCAGGCTGCTGCTCCTGCCCTCTGCACACCTCCCTGGGAGGTCTCCCCCAGGCCCCTGGCTTCACTTAATGACCCATGTTTGTCTCTGTTTTTATCCACTGGGCCACTGGACACCTCCCCTCATGTATCCCAAGGTCACCTCCAGTTCACAAATCCCAGACAAACTCCACGTCCCTCCTCAAACCTGTTCTTCCTGCTGCTGTGCTCACCTTCCATGCCTGGCAGCCAACATCCACTGCCATCCCTGGCTCTACCTTGCCCTTGCCCCCATATCCATCCCTCACCAACCCTACCTCCTAAACCTATCACCACCACCACCACTTCCCTAGTCCAAGCCATGCCCACGGGAGGTGCTCGGTGAATGTTTGTGGAGTAGACAGATGGATGGGCCAATGGGTGGGTCAGTGAATGGATAGATGGATGGCTGGGTGGTAGATGGATGGATGGATGGATCAATGGGGGGTGAGTGGATGGATGGATGGATGGTTGAGTGGATGGATGGATGGAAGGATGGATGGATGGTTGAGTGGATGGATGGATCAATGGGGGGGTGAGTGGATGGATGGATGGATGGATGGATGGATGGATGGATGGATGGATGGATGGATGGATCAATGGGTAGGTGAGTGGATGGATGGATCGGTAGGTGGGTGTGGGGGTGGGTGGATGGATAGATGGATGGATGGGCCAATGGGTGGGTGAGTGGACAGATGGATGGATGAACAGACAGATGGATGGGTGAAAATGGCAGGACTTCTGCAGCTTGGGGGACTTTGAGACTGCAATCATTATACCTGCCAGTGCTTTTCTTAGCAGCACCTGGACCCTTTGATGAGTACTGGGTTGAACACGCCACTTCCAGGAAGCGTCCAGAGCTAAAGCTATCTTGAGGTATTTCGTTTGGGAAATCAGGCAGTCAAGGTATTTGAACACAAAGGGGCACAGACTGGCCGTGCCACTACCGCTGAGATCCCTCCACCCCAAGGGAAGCTGAAGCAATTGGAGGAATGCCAGTCACTGCCACGTGGAGGGTCTCTGACCTCCAGACTCTGTCTAGGGTGCCACTCCTCCCCTATGTGCCCCCACACAACACGCAGACACACACCGAAGAGGTGCAGCATGGACTTCTCTTTCTTTGTACAAAGACTTTATTGTCTGACATGCTTGACAAAAAAAAAATTACAGCCACAATCAAGTGATGCCAAGATGACTGAGAAGCACGCCGTCATCTTTCATACCTCAAGGACTTTTAATGAATTTTCTCTTAAAGTAACAGCTGCCTTCATAACTTTTCTTTTCCACATAAAAATACACCATATTCTGAAGACACCTTAGGAAAAAAAATTTTTTTTAAGTTTATGGTTCTTGGTCCACATAGAAATTGAGCAGAGGTGGCACTGAAAGGGCCTTATGTTTTCTCTACCCCACATACGTCATGCATCAGAGCATCCCGAGAAATTCTGTAAACATCCCAGCCACCAGGAATCACTTCGGCCAAGTGGGATTCCTGAAGCCCTACACCCCACGGAGCACAGTGGCCTTGGACCACGCGGTGCCGCTGCCAGGCTCCCTGGGACAGCATCTCACCCTGCGGTGAGCCCGGCTCACTCACGAGCAGGGAAGGAATCACAGTCTCCCAGGACACTGAGATGCTGGGCTCCGAGTTCAGGACTCCTCAGAGCTCACTCAAAGGGCTCTTTGTGGGAAATGAGCCAGAGCTGGGTTTGAAGAGGACCCTTCAAAAAAATTTTTAAAAAGAGCCTTGGACCACACATTGCTTTGTAGGGACAGAGCTTTGGGTGGTGGCAAGTGAGGGCTGAGAAGCCAGAGACCAAAGTTCAAATCGTGCCTCTGCCCCTTCTGAGCTGTGCACCCTCAGGCAAGTGATGTCATGTCTCTGGCTTCGATGGCCTCATCTCTAAAATGGGACCACAGTACCTACCTTGCAGGACCACATGAGGATGGAATGAGACTGTATCTGCAAAAGGGTTTGTTGAAGGCTGGTTCCCAGGGCTGGAGCCAGGGAAAGGGAGTGAGGCCCTCCTCTCAGGTGCACAGTTTAAAGGTGCAAAACCCTCCGTAATCAAAACAAATCACACCCTTTTAATGCAATGTTGTTAGAAATCAAAACAAATGCAAAAAATAAATCCATGATGAACAAAAGATCAACATGTTAAATAAAGAAAGAATCTGACCCTGAACTTGCCCAACCCTCACTCACCCTGACCCAGGTCCTGCTGGTTCCTCTCCCTCAGAGATTAAGCCCAACCCCTCCTCCCACCACCAGGCCTAATTCAAAGAAGAAAAAAAAGCTGCCCAAGGGGGAGCCGCTGGAGCCCAGGCCCAGCCCGGCACTGTGCCCCCTCCCATTAATGGGCTGCTGGAGCTGGGGCTGTGAGGATTGGACCCTTTAGGCTTCTTCAGCTGTGCACAAGCCAGGCAGACGCCAGTGGTGCAAGGGAGATTGCACCGGGGAATGGAAGCTCGTTGCGGAACAGTAATCAGAAACACAGCACCCACTTCATTAAATAAAGAGGTGCATGCGTGTGACAGGGCTGCTGCAGCCTCGGCCTGCAGACCCTCCTGGTTGTTGAGTTCTGCAGAGCAGGCAGTCCCTGTGGGACCACGGTTGTCCCACTATGACTCGGAACCCGCCAGCTGGTCCTGGGCACTCACGTGGCTCATTGTGTAGTTCCAACTCCCAAATCCAGGCTCCAAGTGAATGCCTGGGACACTCAGGCCATTGTTCAAGTCAGCAAAAATTCCCACAGGACAAAAAAGGGGGAGCAACGTGAAGCAAACCACTCGTGGGCCTGGCCAGGTGCAGTCTGAATTCCTGAGATGTCCCTGAACTCTCCCTCAGAGAGCCACTGCCACCAGCAGACCTGTCTCCTCTCCGGCCTGGGAGGAGAGGAAGGACTGGCTGCACCCAGACTACAAAACCTCCCACTCCCCGCAACCCTGAGGCTCACAGCCACACAGACTCTCCGTTAGAGGGAGATTTTGTGCAAGAACTTCTAAAACTCATCCAAGAGCAGTGGTTTCCCACCCAAACCAAGAAGGCGTCCAACTGAGACAAATGAAGACTCAGTCATTTCCCAGCAACACAGGGCCATGAGCACATCAGGTCTGTGTAACAAGGTACGCATGGATGTACACACAGAAAACAGTAATGGATGCAGAACCCCTGATAGGGACGAGCAGGGTCCCAGCTTCAAGTGACAGAATACTGAAGAGTCAAAGGTGATTTTCTGCATTCCAAGGCCTCAGCCCATCTGCTGGGCCAGTCCCTGTGGCCAAACGGGTCATCTGGGTCATTCTGCATGAAAGGAAGGGTGGCTGGGGGTCTGTGCTCCCGGCCAAGCATACGTCTGATGCAGGCGGGCAGGGCTGGGGTAGTGGGGAGCAGTCAGGAGTTCCGGGGTGTGGGGAGGTCGATGACTATGGGTGGGTTCACAGGCTGGTAGTTCACAGTGCACACGGACGCATTCACATAGGTAGTCGTCCCGTCCGCCATGACACCATACCCTGGAAAGTAAGCACACGCCTGTCAGGCCAGGCTCTGGAGCTGTGAGGGTGGTCTAGTGAGTGTGGTAGTTGGAGGGTATTCAGCCTCAGTGAATTTATCTGAGGCAAGCTACTAGAACTTTCAAACTCAGTCTCTTCACCTGTAAAATGGAGATAATGATGACAGACACTACTTCCAAGCCTGCTGTAAAGATCAGATGAGATAAGCATCCATGTACAGTGCTCAGCCCACTGCCTGGCACGTGGGAAGCACAAAGTGAGTCATCATCAACGACACCCTTATCACCACCATCACCATGAGCACCATCATCACCATAGTCATTATCACCACCATCAACACCATCATTACCATCACCATCATCACCACCACCATCATCATCCTCACCATCATCACCATCATCACCATCACCACCACCACCATCATCATCCTCACCATCATCACCACCATCATCACCATCATCACCATCACCACCACCACCATCATCATCCTCACCATCATCACCACCATCATCACCATCATCATCACCATCACCACCATTATTACCATCACCATCATCACCATCATCACCATCACCATCATCATCATCATCATCATCATCATCATCATCATCACCATTATCACCATTATCACCATCACCATCACCACCATTATCACCATCACCATCATCACCATCATCACCATCACCATCATCACCATCATCACCACCATCATCACCATCATCATCATCATCACCACCATTATCACCATCACCATCATCACCATCACCATCATCACCATCATCATCACCATCATCACCATCATCATCATCATCCTCACCATCATCACCATTATCACCATCACCATCATCACCATCATCACCATCATCACCATTATCACCATCACTATCACCATCATCACCATCACTATCACCATGACTACCATAATCCGTATTATCATAAACACCATCATCGCCATCATCATCATCATCACCATCACCATCATCACCATCACCATCATCACCATCATCACCATCATCACCACCATCACCACCATCATCATCACCATCCTCACCATCATCATCCTCACCATCATCATCCTCACCATCATCATCCTCACCATCATCAT